AGGCTTAATCATTCTAGAATCCCCTCCCTTTGAAGAAACTCGTCTGACTCGCGACACGTTTTCGGCCGCTTTGGATGTCTTGTTAGCCGCAGTGCTCTATTTCTATGGGGTCTCCTTTCCGCGCCAGGACCTCTACCAAAAGCTCTAGTTGTCATCTGCGGCATTTGCGATTCTTCTCTTTCACATTTACTTGAAAATTGCGCATTCACTTCCACTTGAGGCAGCGCCCGCGTTGTAGCTCACCCTATGAGGATGGTGGACGTACTAGTTTCGCAACTCAAAAATGCGAGAGAATAGCGGCGCCCGCTCGTGAAGAGTCGGCCACCCCGCCCACCTGGCGACCACTACGCCCAACTTCATTTCTAATGGTTGCCTGATGGTGCGGTTGTTCTGCTACTCTCTCCACTTCGAATGGTGAGAGTGAGGTGATAAGGGAAAACAGCTGATACCAACAAGTGAGAACCGCGCCTTCTCTTCGCCTTGAGCACGTACAATTTCATTTCGGCTTGGGGTCCTAGTACATATCCGATGGTTTCTTTTGCATTTTTCTCCTTTAGTGAACTACTTGTTACCTTGTTGTCACTGTTTGACTCATGAAATTGAACACGAGCGCTGCTAAGGGTTTCTGCCTGCTTGTAGTTCTCCTCATTGCATTCTGTTGGTGTAACAAAAACAGAAAACAATTTATTACATTGCTCATTCGAGAATTATCACTGTCTGCAAACTACGTAAAGCTGGTTGTTGACAGGAAGATCATCACATGGAACCACGTTTACGTATGATGCGAAAGTCTTTGTGATCCCTTCTGGTTGCATCTGAAACAGACTTGAACAAATGGGAATTCAGTTCCTCCCATTGCCTCAAATTAGAGACCGCATAAAACAACAAAGAAATTAATACTTGTGAAGGGATTGAATCTTCAGATGACCGCTATTCGGGCAAATATATGTACCCAACAGCCGCCGGATACCCGCCTTCTGCTTATGTCATGCATTCGCATCGTGCAGTCTTGTTCGATGCGAATGCTGAGGCTTGTGAGCAGGGATTTGGGTTTTGTGCAGCACCAGCCAGTTTTCACCACTTTTCAATGCGGACAAGCTACCACAGGCGGTGGTAAACGCTCTGGTACCGCGCCAAACCCAGCGCGCTCACACGCCCTAGGGCACGCAGCGAACAAGACTGTCCATTATCCGTGGGAGGAAGTGATGTTTTAGGTTCACTAGTACAGAGGGGAGCCAAAAAAGACACTTTTCTTCGTTGACCTTCGAGGCCCTATAAGTTACACTTTTTTTAAATTCTTACTGGACATTTCCGCCACCATATTCAAGAGCATATTAAATACTATCACGACACTCCGCCACAGCCTTCTGGACGAGCGCCATCGAGAGATTCTGGCACGCGACCGCGATGTGGTGCCTGAGATCAGCGAGATAGTCGATTTCTCCGCCACCGTAGACCACCCTATTGAACTGGGGGCTGCGCCCAAACCGGGTAATTGGGAGGGTTTAGGTTAGGTGACACACCTAGATAACCCGCCTTCTTCAGGTACTCAACCCTCCTTCCATTCCATGTAGGCGAGAGGTTTCCCAACGCCCCTCGATTCCGTGTAGAGGCATCCTATCCTTAGTAGTACGAAGTTTCCAAGAAGGTACAGGCGATGGAATAACCGTGAGCGTTCACTTTCAGTTCGGAGCCCACGAAGAAAATATCGGTGTTCACATTCCAGGAACTTCCGGACTATACCACCACCCGCGCCTTGGCGACTGCGGTGAAGATGATATCCTGGACCGTAGCGACGTTGTCGGAGCTGCTCGATGTTGGAGGTCCTCCAGATCAAGAGTACCGGTTCCAGGTAGAGCTATGGGTGACTCCAAGAAGTTTCGCAGCTGTTTGGAGGTGACGTGAATTCCAAAGGCTTCTCCAGTCAGGCTGCGACTGGAGATGACTTCATATTTTGGTGTACATGAAGGTGATGGGCGAGAGCCTCCTGCTTATCGAGGAACATCTTCCGCCCTGGTACTTGTATCCACGTATTCTGTCTGGGCTGCGAAAACTTTGCTGATATGTGACTCGGACGGTGTCTTTTTTTGCCCCCCCCCCTGTAGTTTGTAATGTCGACTCGTGATGTGGTTCCAAAGGCCAGCCGGGTTGTGGGAAAGACAAAATAATGTTTGGAATTTCGCCACTGGTCAGATTGCAATACGTTCTAAAAGTGAGCCGCTATTGTCGAGCGCAATATGACATAAGACTCACAACAACGCATTTCTTGGACTCTTGATAATGCTTTTCAAGTAGATATTCACTATCTGATCTATCTGACCATTCTGCAGAATAACCAGTTGGTATTGTTACAGAGCTATCCTTATCACCTCCATTTCTTTTTATGCGCAATGCGAGTTACCAGCTCTCGAAAGCTGAAGATCTTTCTGATTGTGATGGCAAAGCTCCTTTCGAGAGCGATAATTCAATCTTTTTCCCAGGGGGAGGCGGGGGGGGGGGGAGTTGTAAACCCTTGATACCAAAATTAAGAGTTCCAAAATAGAGGTTTTAGTGAAGAAGGGTGTGTGGCTGGTCACGTGCCGGGTACAGGAAAAATGAACAAGTATCCTTGTCTAACACAATAAGACGAGCGTAGCCACTGGTAGAGGCGTGCATTGGGAAGACCAGATAGCCACTGGCCATGAGGCAAGCGGCCATTAAGAGCCACATGCCGACACGCCCCGACTGCTCAGTGAGCGACGGCCTCTGCTAGACCGAGGTCACCCATGTTCGTCTCCAGAGTCCGCTCATCTGGGGCGCAGTAGCGTCATTGCATACGTGTCCATAGCCATGGCGTGAAGGTTTTATGCGAGAGGTATTACTGATTTGGGACAACTGTCATCCTGTTTTGAGAAGACACGTTTTACCACGTCTTCCACGAAAAAATCTCATAGGAAAGCGCAGCCGCGGTCACCGTTCGACACCAGGTGTAAGTTGCCCCGGCCTACTGCATAATCACAGAGTTGGTGATACCTGCCGATTCTTCTGATCGAGGTCTGCGGCTACGCCCAGAGAATTAGATACATATCGATCCGGCGTATTCGTCTGATCGGATCGATAAGTATCTTATCTTCTGAGCGCGGTCATCGTAAATGTTGGTTACGCTGGATCGGCGCAGATACTTCCTTTTAAACCTTACTCTGTCCCATCAACAACGCAAGGACGCGCAGTCTTGTTCGCTGCGGACGATGAGATGTATTTAGGGTGGGGGCGGGTGGGGGCGGGGGGAATAGGCCATCATACTCCACCCATCATCCTCGAAGGACAGAGACTGTATGTGACCGAGACAACGATGACTGGAGAGTAGTGTGCATCGGCTGGCGACGTCGGCGTTTTGCAAATGTACGAAGTTATATAGGTCAGCTAAGATGGCGACAGTAGTCAATGAACAACCCAATGATTGCTAATGTGGTGCTCTAATCAACAAGCTAAAGCAAGTTACGAAAACGCCGCGTCTCTTGCCGCGCGCGACGTGACGGCAAAGTCTTGGCCGTCTACCGTCGCAATGTATAAACTAGTCTATTGTCTCCGATAAGAGACGCTTTTTCCCCCTACTAGATCTTCCCATTCTACAAATATGGGATATGAAATGTTTGATTACCGTTACGACCCGGTGTTGTGACGAGTTCCCTACACGCGGCGAACGCTCGTCCAACTCCGCCCGTCTCCTCTGTGTGTGTCTTATAAGCTCGGATCTGCAGAAAGTATTGAGAGTAGTTTCGTTTCTAACTTTTCTTTCTTCACCTATGAGTTAGCTATCGAATTGTCATCCGCATGTGAGCCGCACTACGTGCTGCTCATGATACGACCCTTTTATGGGTTGAGCCTAAGTCAACATACGACGTTAATGAGATGATTCTGGTAACCTGCTATAAAGTTTTCTTCGTCTTGGGATCGAATCGATGTCAAGTGAGCGTCTTCTTTCTCACAGTACTCTTCACCCTTCTTGTATGACAGCTTGGTCCTGTACGTGACTTTATCAGCCTTAACAACCTGAAAATGGCAATGTGTTGAAGTACACCTGAAATCATGGTATGCCTGCAAGTCCTGCAAACCCACCTTGAGCGTCGACTGATCCTCGTCTTGCAGTTCGATCCAAGCGTTAAGCTCAGCTCTGTCAATGATTGATCTGTCAAGGAGAGCGTAGACAGCTAAACAAAATGTCGACAAGACGAGAACGAGGCGAAGAACACTCCCCAAACACATAGGCAGTTCAACGCCAGCGGCAAGTAAAAATATGAGGACCTATCCTAGTGTATCGCTTATATCGTGCTCTTTCATCGGGCATACTTTTTCATCCTCTGATACGCAAATACTACCTGCGAATTCAACTACTGTTTCGCAGCCAGCACAAACATGTTGTATTGCTACTCAAAACATCCTACAAGAGGTTCTGCTGAGAACCCTTTGATGCTCCCACCAAGCCAAACTGCTTCGAAGATTTTCTAAGAAAATCTCAGAATAAGTCCTTCTGCTTTGTTTCGAGCGCATTGGCCGTCATTGAAATTTCTTCAAGATGTGACATGCTTTTTCTAAGACATCAATCAGGTTTTGGTACAAACAACAAGAATTTTCTCGCTTTGAAAAAAGTCCTACTGATAACCTTTGGGGTACAATCAGTCCTTTAGATCATTGATAATCACTTGCATACAACATAAAACACATTTAGGATTTGTTTCACTACGATAACGACTGTTTGGCGCTGGACTTCGCGCTCTGAAAATTATCACTGCTGGGTTATGGATGAAGTTCTTGACCTCATACGGGACTTAAACCTTTGCCACATGAGTGCGATGACCGTTATGCCATCAAGATCATCTTCCCTATCAGGGGTACATGCATGGGGATGTGAAATTTCGGTGTGGGTATCGACCCCCCCCCCTCTGTCGAGTGGAGGGGGGCGGGGTACACCACTATGCAGACGTATACCCCACGCGTACAATAATGCGATTATAGCTGCATATTAAAAAATTAGCTGAGACCTCCCCCTTTTCATAAGAAAAAATTCAATTAATCAAAATAATTTTGTTCTTCAAATAGCGCCTCCCTTCCCCAGACGCAAATAGCTACGACCCCCCCCCCATGGGTCTTTGACACAACAGTGGGCTGTACCCTGTCCCTATCTCTCTTTGGGGTATTGAGCCGAATAAACGGGAATAGATTCAAGTTTTTGGCCCACAAAACCATTAAGCTGCGAGGGGGTCGGAGGCAGCGCCTTTGGTGTAACGATAGCACCTCGCTCGATAAGGTGCCAGGGGCGCTGTTCGGTGACGAGGGCGGGGGCCACTGCTGCCCTTTAACGGATGTCCCATCGCGTGTAAACTCAATCTAGACAGGCCCTTCTCGAGGCTGACAGCGTTTTACCATGATGAGCTTGACGAGCCTCCAGCTCATGTCGGTCCCAGCTTTCACCAACGGAGTGAGAATTCGTAAACCAGGAACTTAGCGAAGCAGACGGAAAGTGCAAAAATGCCCCCGTCGGCAAACTGCGCCCGGTGCGGTATGGGTTCATGCGTGTCAGGACTTTTGCCCATAACTTTTCGTTCTTGTGATATCAAAGTACACTGTTGAACGAAACAAGAGCTTCATACCAGCGTCGTCCTACAACCAGGCCAGACGGGAGCAGTGTAAGGGAAGAACTGGTGGATGTGAGAGGGGAGTCACGCAAGTCCTGAAGGTGCAGTCCGGACCGATCCCCATATTGTCACAGATTCCCTCATCTAACATGTGACACGACCTTTATTTCGACAAAGTCATTTGTCGGAGCCCCTTTCAGAGAGAAGGCCTATTTTTCAATTTTTGAGAGATCGAGGGTTTCAGCTCCAGATATAGGCGCTCAAACGACGATGTGTAAAGGACAGAATGCCTCTGCCAATCTGTAGCAAAAGCGGATCAAAGACCGAGAACGACGAAAACAATGACGTGACAACGACTGCGAAACGGCTGCTATCACTATCTCCTCGCTACTCTAGTACATGTGAAAAGCAGGGTTTATGAAAATCACGTCATTATCTTGGGCATCTACCAGTAGCCAATCTGGCTCAGCTCACGTATATCAAAATGTACAGAGTTGTTCGCTGCGGATGACGGGCCGATGTCAAGATGGGATGGGTTGGCGCTACGCCAGTCCTTGATTCTTTTTTTTCATTCGGCAGGCAAAAAGACCGTACCATATCGTTCGTGTCAATCGTTCTCCATCAATTATTGTTGCTTCTCCGCTTCAATGATTGATGGAGAACGGGCTTGCCCCCTTACCAAACCGACCCGTGGCAGGCCTTAGTATCCGCAGCGAACGAAGCTGTGCTTCCCAGTTGCTCAGTGCTCCCTTTATGGGCGCATCGTAGAGTTACACTCCTTATCCCTAAGACGGGGTAGGCGTGGCATATGAACATGGCACAGGGTGGGTTACTCGTGGGATACTTCAATCTGAGACAACTGTCATCTTGTTCTGTATTGGACATAGATGTGACCACAAACGTGTCAAAATGAAAACATCCTACCAGAAGCACAGCCACCGCCACATCTAGTTGGAGTACATTACCACGCCTACCACATCTCAGCGATTTCGAGTGCAGGTTTATCGTTACCCAGCACCAAACTCTCGAAAACTGTCAAGCTGATGAACTCAAAGGCACGTACAGCCTTCATTTGGTGTGCAGGCGCTGTTACAGGATAAGCTAGTCCGTTTTGGAGTCACGGAGGATATACCACATTCGCGGTTCGAAAAGAGAGATGGGGACGCCACCCGACGTGGCGAAGGCAATGCTCCACCCGCGTTCCAGGATACACCCGAAGTTCTACTTTGAAAACCTCCACGTTGTGCCACTGAGCTCTTCCCATCCCGTACGGGAATGAGGTGGTATGGGAGAGGAGCTGACATCGTTGTGATACGCGACTGAGTGGAACTCTTTCAGAGCAGGCCTTCTCTCGGCTAACACTCTTACAAGAATGGGGTCCCATCTAGGGCAATCCGGTGGATAAACGGAGTGGAAACTGGCTGCAGGAAAGACCACTTTACTTCCTTTCCCTTTCCCCTCTTCCTTTTTCCTCATGATGCATTCTAAGGCTGGCTGGATGCTAGGACGGAGGAACATCTGCCTTCGACCTCCCATATCCTGCAAGGCAGAAGGGCTCATCGCTGCTGGGAGAATCCGCGTCATGCCCACCAACAGGAGGGGCGTTGTAATTGCGGCGTGAGAACAGCTATTTTGATAGTTGATTTTTCTCACAGCATTTTGAAAGGTTGAGGGGTCGTTCATGCTCGCTGTTGGGGGAGTCGTGTTTACTTTTTGGCCTTCTGGGAGAGGCGGTTAACCTTTCGCTCATTTTCCTGTTTCATGTGTGGCTATATAAACCCCACCCCCGTCTCCCCCTGCACGCTAACCCCTCGATAGCAAAATTTTTGCGCGGATAGTCAGTGGAAGGAGGAAAAACTCTGGAAAATTCGGAAAAAGCTGACAGAAGTTGGGAAAACCTGAGATTTGGTGAAGGGGGGACGGGTCATATTTTTCTTGCGGCTTTGTGCACGGATTCGAACAAAATCCCCAACCAATGGCGTGCCCTGCTCGGAGGTTTCTCTCCTTCGAGCAGCTATATCATGTCTCTGTCCCGTACAAGCGACTACAGCAGTTCTTTGTTCTTTCGAGTTGAAATAATTTACAAGCAATGTTCCTTTACGCCAAGGTCACGTGGAAGGTACGCGGCCAGACGGCCCCTCATCCCCTCTCTGTGATTTGAAAGTTTTCAAACATATTAGAAGGAATCAGGAAGGAACGTTTTAGGCAACGAACACTAGAGCATAGCTACGGAATCTGTCACTCGCAAGCCCAATTACCCCGGTTTACAAAGTCCGAACATGGCCTAGCGAAAGTGCAGAATGCCCATCCCAAGGCAATTAGCACTTGAAATCGTTATCGTTTACTGATTGTTTATCGATTGCTATGAAGTTTGTGGCCGCACAGCACAGGAGATAGTTGATGCATTAGATAATGGGCTGCGTGGGATTATTCCGATCAGTGAAGCTGGCTGAATTGTGGCGAACACAAACTCGAAAATGATAAGCGCAATCAGTCACAGACGGCACGGGACGACTTCCGACGACCCTTTATCTCTACGCCTATAAATATTCGTTACATCACTCACTATACTCACACCAATGTCGCCTACCGTATTCCTATTCTTGATAGCCGCCTTACAAATAGTATATGCTTCTGAGTTCACAAAGGTAAGTTAGTTCAGACGAAGAGCCACTAATATGTCAAGAAGTAGCTGCAACCGAATATCAATGAGCCGTACTGAGCCCTATCCCCCTAGCCCTAGTTCTCACCAATGTCTGCCCTTTGGAGCTGGTAGTTCGGCTTTTGGAGGGCATTTTGCTAGATCCCGTCGACTCCTGCCGGTGTCTCCTTCTTGAGGGACAGTAGCTCCGGCGGGACGATTTGCAATAGCAGGTGAGGTGTTTCACAGCTTGAATTTGGGACAAGACGTTTCACCGATTCCGGTCCACCAAGATGTGTGACATGGCAGTTTAACAGGAAATGGCAAGGACCAGTAGTGAAAGGGCCAAAATGCGTATCCTCCCGAGCCGACCAGCGCCGAATTACTGCCATCATCTCAAAAAGCGAGGAGAATAAGTGCTTCTAGGTTATCTCATGTCCATGTAGGGATGGTATCGCAGTAGAACATAGACCTGGCACTTTTGCAGGGATACCCCACTCATTCCCACATCGATACTTTTGCCGAAGTTCGAAGTTCTATTTGGTCGTAGAGAGCCTGATTTGTTACCGGCCATTAGGGGCATGTTACGTACTTGGAAATTCTCACCGCGGATTCGTATTTGTTTGCTGCGGAGCGGATGAGCGGGTGGGAGGGATCTCGGTATTTCTACCTGGCTGTTGGATTTCAAAAGTTCTGCTTTTTGTGGTTTTTCATGAATAACACAGCTGCTACGTGACGAACTTTCTCCTCCTTACTTGACGGCTAGAGAGTCTGTAGAATTTTTTTCTCCAGCCAGGATGTGCCCTGACACCTGCACATATTCGTGAACCGCGCTATATGCTCACTTCTCTCTATAGTTAGGTTATCATTTCTGGATGGCAGTTCAATTTGCGGTAGTACTTCTTAAGCTCCACATTCTTATACAAATTACAGACCGTGTGACACCCATAGTGTGTCACACATTTTTGCTCTCCGTGCAGCTCAATTTA